GAGCAGCATCATGGCCCCATCCTGCTTCCTCCTTGTTTTATCTTTCACAGCCCGCCCCACACCAAACTCTTATGCTCCTAAAATTAAAACAGTAGTAACTATGGGACAGGAGAGTAGAGATCATGAGACCGTTTTCATCCAAGTAACCTAGAATATCATTCTTTCTTTGGGAAGGTAAATCATACAATGAGGTCACCAGTGCGTAGTGGGAGGTGGTAAATAAGGAAGTTCCCCAAACTAGTGGTGGAGATGGTAACTGTGAAAGAAGCCAGAGCAGTAAGTGATGTCTAGGCCCCTGCTCTGCACAAAGATGTAGATCTCCAGGGTCAAGAGGGACATTTTTCTTCTACTAAAATCCTTCTTTGAAAAATGTCCGTGTTTCGCATTTCGGCTTCCTTCTCAGGAAGGAAGATTCCACGTCTTACTTTCAAGAATTCTTAGTATTCAGGCGAGGTGACGGAATGCTTCCTACTTCCCCTTTGAGGGCTGGGAGAGGACACTTAGTTGTAGAGAAACCACATTTTAAAAAATGCATATACTATAAATATCACAGATCTTTTGATACATGGGAAATGTGAATCCCTGAAGTTCATGAAGGATTTCCATGGATGTAGGAGCTTTTATGTTGAGATCAGTGACATATTCTGTTATATATTTTTATGAGGTAGCTGAGCCCAGACTCAACATCGAGAGTGAGTGCAGAATGGAGAAAGGGATCTTTGATCATCTTTAAAGTCAATAGTCTCCCTTCCACGGTACTTGGAAGTATTTCATTTCATGTAAATTAAAATACAGGCCAGGAAAGAGTAAAGCAGAAAGAACAGCATTATCTGTTGGCTTGTGAATGTTTACTTTCCATCATTTTAAAAGGACATTATGTTAAAAAAAAAAAAGTTTCCAAGAGCATAAGAAAAATCCCCTCACCACCTCCATTTTATCCCAGCCACATTCTCCAAAAAGGGAAGACAGAGAAGGAGGAAGGACAACCTAAGGAAGAATCAAAGTATCTACAGACACTTCTTCTGGGAGGGATTTCTGGTGAGTAACAACATTCTGTGAAGTCACCTCTAAAAGGATGAGATATGGGTTTTTGTTTTTAAGAGACAGGGTCTTGCTATGTTGCCCAGGCTAGAATGCAGTGGCTATTCTCAGGCATGATCATGGTGCACTACAGCCTTAAACTCCTGGTCTCAAGCAATCCTCCTGCCTCAGCCTCACAGGTAGCTGGGACTACAGGCACACACCACCATACCTAGCTTAAGGAGTTATAGCAAAGGTGATCTGGAAAGGGTCCTCACTTTGCAAACCCCACATAGCAATCCAGACTTCTCACACGCTCTGTGTGTCAGCTAGTATTATTTTCCTATAACTGATCAAATAAAGGGGAGAAGCTGGCTGGGTGTGGTGGCTCACGCCTGTAATCCCAGCACTTTGGGAGGCTGAGATGAGCAGATCGCCTTGAGCACAGGAGTTTGAGACCAGCCTGGGCAACATGGTGAAACCCCATCTCTACAAAAAATATAATAATTAGCCGGGCATGGTGGCACATGCCTGTAATCCCAGCTACTCAGGAAGCTGAGGCTGGAGGATGGCTTGAACGTGGGAGGTGGAGGTTGCAGTGAGCCGGGATTTTGCCACTGCTCTCCAGCCTGGAAGACGGAGTGAGACCTTGTCTCGGGGGGGATAAAAAAAGAAGGGGGAAAATCCTCTTTAATCTTCTAGATTCAATGTAGCCCCTCACGAAACCAGTCTGTTTGCCCCGAAAGGAGTGTCCATCACACTCCAATTATGCAGGAACTGTGTTAGTCTTGTCCACTGTTTACCCAGTGCCTTGGGAATGAGGATGGCTTGCCGGTTCTCAACTCTGTGGCAGGTACTGGGATGAGGAGTTAGCACTGATGGCCGCATTTGATATCGAAAAAACCTTCTGAGGCAGATACTGTAAGTAACATCTCATTTAGGAGATGAGTAAGCTAAGGCACAGAGAGGGTGAGAAAGTAACTTAAGGTAGCTCAGCAATCAAGGGCCAAAGCCAGGATTGGAATGCAGGCAGTTTGGGGTCTGGAGTGTGCTCTTTTAGCCTACAAACCACTCTGCTTAGCACGGACTCTATCACAAGATGGTGTGGACATCTTAGCAGATACAGGATGGCAAAGTGCCTCCTGGTAGAGGGAGATGAAGCTGAGAAACAGAGACATTTGTATAATGGAGTACAATGTAGCCATTACAAGAATGAGGTAGAGCTTATATCATTGGAAATGGGACAGTCTCCAACATGTAGTATTAAATTTTTAAAAAACAGCAAGATGAGCATAGGTCTGCATTGATGCTTTTGTAAGTACAGCATCTTTCTGGAAGGTTATGTCACTGAGGGTTCCTTCTGGGTAGGAAACAGGGGTCTGGGGAGCTAGAGGTTTGGGATTAGATAAAAACACTTTGAGTCCATGTTCATTTGTGCAGTTGGAATTTTTAAAACCACGTGTAAATGTTCTTTTTCAATATAAAAATCTAATTTACAAAGGATTCTGTTCTATGGGAAGAAGAGGACTTCTGCGCTGGTGAATTGAAGCAGCTGCTTGTCATGACCACGCAAGGCCTTTCTACTCCTACATTAGATAGAAAGGAATTTTGACTTTGAGTCCATCTTAATCTTGGCCAAAAGCGGTTTGCCGCATGCGCAAAGATTTCTCACCTCCCCGAACTTCCGGGATGCCAAACATCATCAACTCCTTCTCACTGGCCATCCCCCAAAGGGCCTGGACCGCGTACAGCATGGAGGATGCTGAAAGGTGCTTGAGTGTTTTTTTGAGCACTGGCTGATTGTGTGAGCATTTACCTCTTCCTTGAGGGCAGGGCCACAGAGTGGAAGCCCACAGAGAGGGCAATGAATGACTGGTCAATGGGATCTAACTGCAGGTGCATTAAGAATCACAGAAGTTTAGACTCAAAGTGTTTTAAAGATGTGTCTGGCCTGGTCCAGGCACGTTGAGGAGGCACTGAGTGGATCTCTAAGCTCCTGGGGGAGGTTCGCTGCCCTTCCTGCTATCCCAGCGCTCCTCAAGCTCTCCTTTGGCCAGCTGCAGAATGATCTGGGTCCTGTGCACAAAGACCCAGGCCAGAGAGGAGGGCCTCCCACGATGGGACATGTTTCCCAAGGCCAAAGTTAGGATGTGCAGTATCAGGACACAGTAGCCGCGTGTTGCATGTGTGTGATGTTGGGGAAAACATTCAGAATAACCATGTCCCTACTTTTCTCCTGGAAAACCTGCGACAACCCCTGAAATTGTGCTGTGAGGTCTGTGGTTGAGAAGGGAGCACCAGGCAACCAGCCATCTCCTCGCTCATCTAACATTCTGTTCTCTCTCCCTTCCTCCCTTCATTTTTGCCAGCTCATTCCTGTCTTCTCTTTGCCCTTTCTGCCTCCTTCCCTCCTCTGTAATCACCTCCCATTGACATAGTTATCCAAGAAAGAACCTGTTATCTTTTTTTTTTTTTTCAGACAGAGTCTCACTCTGTCACCCCGACTGGAATGCAGTGGTGTGATCTCTGCATACTGCAACCTCCGCTACCTGGGATCAAGCGATTCTCCTGCCTCAGCTTCCCGAGTAGCTGGGACTACAGTCGCCTGCCACCCCGCCTGGTAAATTTTTGTGTTTTTAGTAGAGACGGGGTTTCGCCATGTTGGCCAGGCTGGTCTCGAACTCCTGACCTCAGGTGATCTACCCGCCTCGGCCTCCCAAAGTGCTGGGATTACAGGCGTGAGCCACCGTGCCTGGCCAAAGCTGTAATCTTAACTTTTATTTTCCCCCATAAATTGCAGTGGCTTTCCATATCAATATATTTAAAAGTAAAATTCCATAAGTTATGAGGAACTGCCACTTAAAATAAGAAAATGGTATATTTCATAACCAGAACTTGCTCTAAGAATTTGCAAGTAGACTAAACTATCTCTTTAATTTGTCATGCCTAATGAGGTGAGAGAATTAGTTTATGAGGTTGTAAAACTTGAGACAGCTTTGCTTCAGTAATCTGCATCTCATTATCAGAAATATTTTGAATTCTTTTAACGAGGTGATAGCTAAGTGGTTTCTTGCATCATCTCACATAAAGGACAGTTGCTTCTCTTGGAGCTGTTTTTAAAAAAAACTTAGCAAAGTAGTTAAGTGAGAGATGCTGAAGGGAAACTGCTGCCTTTTTTTGTGATTAATATTAATTTGCCCAATAGGCTAGGAAAAGAACTGAGTTTCTGCTTCAAGCTCTGGTTTTGAAAAAGGTGAAAATTCTTGAATGAAAAGCTCCAGAATGTGCAGAAAATGATCTGAAAGTTATTTAACGGGAAGTGTGAATTGAAACTCCCTTTTCCCAACTACTCTTATATTTAAAGTAACATTTAAGGCCAGGTGCAGTGGCTCATGCCTGTAATCCCAACACTTTGGGAGGCCGAGGTGTGCGGATCACTTGAGGTCAGGAGTTCAAGACCAGCCTGGCCAACATGGTGAAACCCCGACTCTACTAAAAATACGAAAATTAGCCGGGCATGGTGGTGCACGCCTGTGGTCCCAGCTTCCGGGGAGGCGGAAACAGGATAGTTGCTTAAACTCAGGAGGTGGAGGTTGCAGTGAGCTGAGATGGCACCACTGTACTCCAGCCTGGGCAACAGAGCAACACTCCATCTCAATAAATAAATAAATAAATAAATAAATAAATAGATAAATAAATAAAATAAAGTAATATTTAAGCTTTAAAACAAAACCTAATAGAATAGAATATAACTTTCTAAACAAAAATATAAGGTCTCCCGTTTCAAAACGGGATGCAACTTTCAATTGTTTCCCATGGTGTGACCGTCATTGGGAAACCATCATTACCTGCTTCCTTAATATAGTGGGGAGCATTGGCAATAACAAGCTCTGGACCCCTTTATACAGTTAACTCAGAGTGCCAAGCAATCAAATAGTTGTAGGAAATGGATGTCAGAAGACAGAAACTCAGATACTCACATTCACCTTCATCTTGATCCTTTAAAGAAATGATTTTAAAAAGTACTATCCATATCCTGGAAAACACCAGCAGAAGTTGCAAATCGCTTGGAAAGGGAAATCTTTCTGTAGGAGTTTGTGCAGGAATGCTGTGAGGTCTGGGTGTAAACTTTCTCTGCAGCTGTCTTTGCCTGTGGATGTGGCCAGTGGATCTCTAAGCTCTTGGGGGAGGCTCACTGCCCTTCCTGCTATCCCAGCCATGGGGAAGGATGGGCTGGTTACATAATATATTCTCTCCCACGCTCCCATTGGTTCCCTCCCATCCAAATGGATGTAGATAGCCTTCGTGGCTGGTTTATCCATAGAAACCAGGGACAAAGAAGTGAATAAACCTGGTGAACTTGCATATGAGGAGGGATATGAGAGAAAAAGAAGAACTTTAATGCAAAGAGAGTTCCTTACTTTCTTAACACCTCTAAAAATAATCCTGGAGAATGGCATATGCTGTAAATAAGCACAAACTTTAACTGGGTTCTCCTTGAAAACTTTGAACTCTGACCCAGCCAACTTTGAATTCTTTCTGATGATTCAGATGAAAAAGCCACACTTTAAAGGAACTTCTACAGCTGTAGGAGGCACTGCCTACTAATGGGGCTTTGAGGAGGAGGTTGTGGTCAGAAAAAAATTCCAAAGCCACCCAGTGGAAATGAGGCATTTGCTTCTCTGATAACTGAATACTGTGCTTTTCCAGTAGGTTTGGGTCTTACCCAGATTGACATGCTTTAATATACTTCCCCTACTCGTGGAAACCTTGCTAAGCTGCACTTAAGGCTTCATTTAATTGGCAATTATTGATCAAGCACCTACTGTATGTCTGACAATATACACCAGGGGAACAGGTAACCAGTTTCCTTGATCTAAGCTCAGGATTGAAATGACACAATAAAGGTCTCTCAGGCCTTCACATAATTGATTATCAAGTCTGTGGCCCAAGATGGGCCCATGTCATACCAGACTGCATTCTCCAACTCAAAGTGCTCCAGAGAGCCTAGTGTGTTCATTCACAGCCTTGCCACTGCCTCCCACCGCCAAGTCTGTTCCTTGCCAGCTAAGTCCCTGAGTTATTGCTTAAGATATTTGGTTTGGGGAGCTGTTGGATCAAGTTAAGGGGTTGGCAATTTCACCCTTGCTCATGAAAAACCCACCGAAGGAGGAGGCAAGTAACAGAACTTCTCTGGGGTTCAGCTTCTTCACCTGAAAGTGAGATAGCTTCACAGGGCAATCGCCAAGTTCCCATCCAGCTGCACAATCTACATTTCCCATGACTTCTTTTCTTACTCTTACCTCTTAGTTCATGAAAGTCATCCGAGGGATTACAGAGAAAATAACATGCAGGTATTTTTCCTCTCTAACTTCCTTTCCTTTCCTTCTCTCTTTCCTTTTCTTTTTTCGTTTTTTAAGGAAAGAAGTGAGGAAAAGCATAAAGAAAGGAGTTTTGTGTTATTTGATGGGTCATAAGCAATGATGCCAACTCCAATTAGAAGAAAACTTTGTCGAAGCCTGTGTTTCTCTCTTTTCTTTTCTAGAGACAGGGTCTCACTTTGTCACCCAGGCTGGAGTGCAGTGGCACAATCACAGCTCACTGCAGCCTTGAACTCCTGGGCTCAAACAATCCTCCCACCTAAGCCTTTCAAGTAGCTAGGACTACAGGCATGAGCCACCACACCCAGCTAATTTTTAAAATTTTTTGTAGAGACACAGTCTCGCTATGTTGCCCAGGCTGGTCTTCAAGAGCTGGGCTCAAGTGATCCTCCCACCACAGCCTCCCAAAGTGCTGGGATTACAGGCGTGAGTTACCACACCCGGCCCCCAGCCTGTGTTTCTAAAGCTTTGTGTGTCTAGCGACTGCCTGCTTCCTGTCATATCCATGTGCCACTACAATTTTTTAGGTAAAATAATAAATTGAGCCAATTAAAAAACAACTCTCCCTCAGCAATGTTACCCATGAAATTCCAGGTTTGATGAGCTAGTTTTAGTTTGTTTGAATGCACATCAAGATACGCCAGTAATGTAAAAAACTGTGATGTGCACCACATTTGAAATCCTCTGGCGTGCCCACAGTCAGGGTCCCTGTAGGGTGTGGTTTTTCCATTTGATTGACTAGGAAGAATTCAAAGCTGGCTCAAGCTGTTTAATGTATCACAGAGAAATGAGTGAAGGTTCAGGCTTGTTCACCAACTTTTCCGTTTTTCTATGGTCATTTTTAGAGGTGCTTCAGGAAAGCAAGGAGCCACTCTGTTGTTTAAGTTTGTCTTCTTTTGTTCTGTTGGTGTGAATTTATTGTAATTCCCTAGGTTTGTTTGTTTAGTTGTTAATAATGAACTACACGTAAACCCATCCCAACCCTTATTTGGGATACCCAAAGGGAGCTAAGGGAGAATGTCTTATGTAACTGGCCCTGACTCCCAGTGGCTGGCAATCACCTCACTTTGGGGAACACCAGTGTAAGGAAGGAGCACCTTGAGTTGCTTGTTATTAATTACTGACTCTTGTGCTTCTATTCCCCTTTCAACTGTGGTGAGACTCTCACTTTTGAACCTGGGCTGGGTATGGTGGCTCACTCCTGTAATCTCAGTGCTTTAGGAGGCTGAGGCAGGAGGACTGCTTGAGGTCAGAAGTTCGAGACAAGCCTGGGTAATATAGGGAGAGCCCCTCATCTCTACAAAAAAAAAAAAAAAAAAAAAAAAAAAAAAAAAAAAAAAAAAAAAAAATTAGATGGGCATGGTGGTGTGCACCTGTAGTCTCAGCTACTTGGGAGGCTGAGGCAGGAGGACTGCTTGAGCCCAGGAGTTTGAGGTTGTAGTGAACTACGATAATGCCACTGCACTCCAGTCTGGGTGACAAAGTGAGACCCCGTCTCTAAAAGCAAATTTCTGAACCCAAAGTGAACATTCCACAAAGCACTTTTCACTTACTGTTAACCGGATGGCAAACACCTCCAAGACACAGAGATGACCTGCTGCTCTCTTGCCTCCTATCCCTCCCTAGCCCCACAAAAGACAGGCTGCCTGGGCTGTCCAGAACATGTAGAGCAAACGAAAGCTGCTCTTGATGATGAGGTGAAGCAATTGTTTAAAGGAAAAGAACAATACATTCACTAACTCATAAACCCGTGCAGAAACTCTCTGAGTGGCCAGGTAAGTGGCCTAGAATTGCCTGTGAATAACTTTTTCATAATCCACACTTGTCTCCTAGAGGAGCTTGCTTTTTGTTTGTTTGTTTTTGAGACGGAGTTTTTGCTCTTGTTGCCCAGGATGGAGTGCAATGGCTCGATTTCGGCTCACCACAACCTCTGCCTCCTGGGTTCAAGTGATTCTTCTGCCTCAGTCTCCCAAGTAGTTGGGATTACAGGCGTGCACCACCACGCCCAGCTAATTTTTGTATTTTTAGTAGAGATGGGGTTTCTCCGTGTTGGTCAGGCTGGCATTGAACTCCCGACCTCAGGTGATTCGCCTGTCTTGGCCTCCCAAAGTGCTGGGATTACAGGTGTGAGCCACCGTGCCTGGCCTCCTGGAGGAGTTTTAAGAGTGCGGAGCCTGGCCGGGCATGGTATTTCACACCTATAATCCCAGTACTGTGGGAAGCTGAGGTGGGCAAATCACTTGAAAACAGGAGTTCGAGACCAGCCTGAGCAACATGGTGAAAAAACCCCACCTCTACTAAAAATACAAAAATTAGCCGGGCCCAGTGGTGCCCGGCTAACTTGGGAGGCTGAGGTGGGAGGATCACTTAAGCCCAGGAGGCGGAGGCTGCACTGAGCTGAGATTCTGCCACTGCACTCCAGCCTGAGCAGGAAAAAAAAAAAAAAAAAAAAAAGGCAGGATCTCCCACGCCGAGAGCTGGGGGTGCTGTCCTGGGAACAGGAGACCATGCACTGAGCTGAGATTGTGCCACTGCACCGAAGCCTGAGTGGAGGGTGCAGGATCTCCCACGCCGACAGCTGGGGATGCTGTCCCAGGGACAGGAGGCCACGCATGTTCTTCTCAGTGTCGACTCTACTTTTCGTAGGTGTGTCTACAAGGCTGGTCTTACCCCTGAACAAACGCCTTAGGGGCGTTATGTTTGGAAATGGTTCTTAAAAAATGTATTTCCTTTTTTTGCAACTCAAGTTGGAGTGTTCTAATCTCCCCCTCCGTGGCAGCCCTCTTACCAGCCTCCCACCTTCCTCCTTTTAAGCTATTTCCCCTTCAGGCCGATGTCATTTCCTCCCTTAGTCATCGCAATTCCAAAACGGCCCTGTTTTGATTCTACGGTTGCTTCCCCATTCCATTATCGCATCGGCCAAGCGCCTGTCTGTTCGCAGACCTTTTACGTTTTGAGGTGACGGTGGCATTCTCCTTACCTTTTTTCCCCCTAAGTGTGCTCTACAGGAAATAAAATGTTCAAAGACTACAGGTGATTAAACAGGGGAACCAATGATGAGTATATGATGAATTTTTTTATTAGTCATAATAATTATTTACTACATATGGAGACAGGGGACCAGGCACTTGGCCTTGGAAGCATTTAGAACAATGCCTGGCATGCAGCAAGCATTCAATATTTGTTGAAGGAATGAAAGGTACATTGTGTTCCTGAATCAAACATGGCACACATAAATAGAAGCTATCTACTCCTCGATTTACTATTTGTTATGCTCACAACCACTCCCCACCCCACACGGCAACCAGCAGTCTCAAACACCGAAAGTTTTACTTTTTCCAAAGACAGAGTACATGATTCTCCTTCATGTCCATGGAGAAGAGCAGGGCGCCACCCCAGTGGAAAATGAAGCCGCCTACACTGAAGTCTCCACATTTACCAGCTTTGGCTCTTTCCTACCTACGGCCCATTTATTGCACAGCAGCCTGAGTGATCTAGAAAACATAAATCAGACCATGTCATCTCCGGCCTTAAGCGGGTTGGTGGTTTCCTTTGCAATTAGAATGGCTTCAAAGCTCTTACACCGGGCCCTATGTTATCTTGCTAACACCTCAGATCTCACTTCTGACCACTCTCTCTCTCGGTTTACTCTGCTTTGACCCCACTAGTTTTTATACGGGCACTCTGCTATGCTGAATGCATTCCCACTGCAAGGCCTTCACATCTGCTGTTCCCTCTGCCTGGAATGCTTTTCCCATCTCTCGGGTCTTCAGAGTGGCCTTTTCCATCCATCGCCTCCATCAGATGCCCCTGTTTTCTCCTCTTTCTGGCAGTTCTCGCCACCTGAAACCAGGGGTCTATTTACTCACTGGCATGCTGACTCCACTGGAATGTCAGTTCTGTCTTGATCACCCTGAATCCCCAGAGCCCAATAACTATGCATTGGGTGAATGGCTGAGCCATGGATGGTGAGCTGTGTTTTCGAGTTGGGTGTTGTATGTGGGCTCTTTTGCCTCGTGGAATAGATGAAGGGAGGAAGTTGCTGGGAAATGCTGGAGGGAGGCAACAGGTCTTTGTGACCTTGATTTCAATAGCAACAGCTTGCATCGAAGGCAACATCTGACCATGGAAAAGGAGGGGCCAATTGTCAAGAGAACAGGCTGAGTGGCGGCTTAGGCTGAGGCCAGGCAGGGGTTAGAGAGCTGAGAGTCAGGAATGACCTCTGTGGCCAAATACCTGCTGACTAGAAAGTAGTGCTGTTCCTATCCTCACAGCGGGGCTGCAGCCAGGGCTCCACCTGCACTCCCTGTAACCTCCCATTCATTCACACACATTACCACAAAGCATTTATTGAGCATCTACTTTGTGCAGGCACTGCCGTAGGCACCAGAGATGCAGCACGAAATAAGAAAGTCCAGGTCTGTCCCTCATGGAGTTTTGCTCCCAGAGAGGAAGACAGATGAACAAATAAAGTGAGATAATTTCAGATCTTAATAAATGAAGGTAAGATAGATGAGAGTGATGGCTGTGGGCCTGTGTAGGGGGGAAGGTGATTTGCACAGCCTGGTCCAGAGAGGCCTCTGGGTGAGGTGATGCTGGCTAGAGAGAGGAGCATCCAGGACGGGGAACAGCAGGGGAGAAGGGGAAGGAACTGAGGCAGGAGAGCTGCTGGGAGTGGGATCTAATGGGCCCTCAAGGGACAGGTCAGCTTTCTGCGCACAATCCCATTTGCCCTTCAATAGAGACTGAGTCTGAAATGTCTTGCTCACCACCTCAGAGATGCTAAAGGTACCAAGAGAACCTAAAACTGCTCTCCACTCACAAGTGAAGCCTCACCACGCTTTCTTGCCCAGAAGCACTGAAGCAAGCCAAGTCCCACCACGTGGCAGACATTTCCAAGCCACCGCATTTTGTCGTGTTTAAACCAATCTTGAGAATGTGGAAGTTTTTTTTTGTTTTTTGAGACGGAGTCTAGTTCTGTCGCCCAGGTTGGAGTGTAGTGGCGCGATCTCGGCTCACTGCAAGCTCCACCTCCCGGGTTCACGCCATTCTCCCCCAGTAGCTGGGACTACAGGCGCCCGCCACCGCGCAAGGCTAATTTTTTGTATTTTTAGTAGAGACGGGGTTTCACTGTGATCTCAATCTCCTGACCTCGTGATCCGCCCGCCTCGGCCTCCCAAAGTGCTGGGATTACA